ACACAACAGCAGCACATCAGAGACAGAGAGAGGGAGGACGGACAGAGGAGGAGAGGCTCTGGACTTCAACAGGAAGAAGAGATTTACATAAATGAATAGAGATGAATGTGACAGACGTCCTCAGGACATGAAGACAATAGAAACCTGCTGAGTGTCACTGATTTCATTCTCCAGAAAGACGGTTTCATGTCGTCTGCTTTTTTAGGTTTATGTGTCGACGTAAATAATGTAAATAAGCAGAGGCCGGTTCCACAAAACACCTTAAGGTTTTCCTTAAAGTCTGAGCTAAGGTTCCTGTAAACTGTTCCCATGTCTTTAAGCTTTTCTCCTTATCTTACTCTCAAACTTTAGGAATCACTCAAAGACCAAAGTTCACCTGGGGAAGTTCAGAACAGCAGGAGGATGAGATCACAGGTATCGCAGGTATCTCATGGCAGCAAATCTATGGTCTCCATGGAAACAGTAGAATTTTACTGCTGTAAAATGCTTAACTTTTATTCTTAACTAAGGAAACATTTTAAGAGATTCACACACTCGATCTCTTTTATACTTTTATCATTTTCTCTGAGGTTTGACTTCCAGACGTGTCTCTTTAATATTTGTCTCAGTGTCTTTTGATCTTGTCTTTTTGTCCAGTGTCCACACAGAAGGTGTGTGTGTGTGTGTGTGTGTGTGTGTGTGTGTGTGTGTGTGTGTGTGTGTGTGTGTGTGAGTGTGTGTGTGTGTGTGTGTGTGTATGTGTGTATGTGTGTGTGTGTGTGTGTGTGTGTATGTGTGTGTGTGTGTGTGTGTATGTGTGTGTGTGTGTGTGTATGTGTGTGTGTGTGTGTGTGTGAGTGTGTGTGTGTGTGAGTGTGTGTGTGTGTGTGTGTGTGTTTCCTCCTGCCCTTCAACCTCAGTCCAAGGTGAATATCTCCATCAGCTGCAGTGAGAGAGGCGACCTGCAGGGGGAGCAAGAGACAACAGGGGGTAAGAGTGGGGGGGGTAAAGCAAGAAAAATGAATGTGAAAATGAAAACTGAACTGGCTGCAAAGAAAATACTGAAAACTACTGACACACAGAGAACGGATGGAGGGATGTGAAAGATGGAGAGGAATAAAAACAACATGATGGAAGGGATGAAAGAGAGAGAGACAGCTGAAAACTCTGATCTTTATTTATTAAAAATATTATTGTTTATAATCATAAATATGCTTATAGATATTAATGTATCTACATCCTGTACATGAGTATTATAAAAGTTATTTTTATCAAAAAAATAATAATTTGTTTTATCATTGTTGTATTTATCTGTTTTTTCAACAGTTTTTCTTTCATTGTGTGTGTGTGTGTTTCATTGATTTCTCAAGTGCATTTAACACCATCCAACCCCCCACTCTTAAAGACAAGCTGGAAGGGATGGGGGTGGATCCCTGCTTCACCTCCTGGATTGTGGATCACCTGACATGACGACCACAGCACGTCAGGCTGGGTAACTGTGTCTCAGGGACAGTGATGAGCAGCACTGGGGCTCCACAGGGGTCTGTTCTGGCTCCGTTCATGTTCACCCTGTATACGGCCGACTTTAAATACAAATCTGAGTCCTGCCACATCCAGAAATACTCAGATGACACAGATATTGTGTCGCGTATCAGGAACAGGCAGGAAGAGGAGTACAGGGATCTGACGATGGCCTTCAGTGAATGGAGCGACAAGAACCTCCTTCTGAACACCTCCAAGACCAAGGAGATGGTCATGGACTTTCAGAGGTCTCGGCCCTTCAGCCAGTCAGCATTCGAGGGAAGGACATTGAGGTGTTACACACTTATAAATACCTAGGTGTGCACCTGGACAGTAAACTGGACTGATCCCTGAACACAGATGCCATCTACCTGAAGGGGCGGAGCCGGCTCTTTTTCCTCAGGAGGCTCAGGTCCTTTAACGTCTGCAGTGAAATGCTGCACATGTTCTATCAGTCAGTGGTGGCCAGTGAACTCTTTAATGCTGCAGTCTGCTGGAGAAGCAGCATGACAGACATGAACACGAGGAGACTGGACCAGCTGGTCAAAGAGGCTGCGTCTGTGCTGCAGGAGTCTGGACTCACTCAGGACTGTTGTGGAGAGACACATGCAATGTAAGATGGAGGCCATCTTGGATAATACCAACCATCCTCTCCACAACATCCTGGCAGGACAGAGAAGCAGCTGCAGCTGCAGCAAACGTCTCATCTCACTGCAGAACAGAGAGGTTCAGGAGATCCTTTGTTCCCACTGCCATCAGGATATACAACACCTCAGCTAAAGGATGTCAAAATGTTTTCATGTTTTTTTTTTAGATATTGTGACTTTATTTCAAAAACTCATTTTACAACTTTTTATAGAATTAGTGAAAAAACGTTTAAAATATTAAATGTTCATTCTTTAAACATTATAAGACATTGAGACATTCCTGTGTGAACCCCGGACAGGTGTGACTGAACACACCTGTCCAGGCCCATATAAGGACGGCCTGCTCCTCTGCTCCTTTTTCCAAAAGCAGGAAGTGCTGAAGAGGCAAAAACAGCGAACATCTTCACTCATCTTATTCATTTTCTCAAAGTTTGTGAGGAAAGTGGAGACAGCTGTAGCTCACACTGCTAAACGTGCTAATTGTTTTCTCTCTGTTTAAAGAATCAGTTCAAGATGATTTTTCTTTAGTTACTGATCATTTATTTTTCGTTGCAGTGGATGAGACGTTGTGATGCAGGTGGACAGAAGATTGAAAACAAGTAGGTGGTAAAAACTTTAAACAGGATGAACGTCATCGATCACTGCAGGTTTATTTTCTCTGAACTCTTTGACCTCCACAGAGGAGCTGATTAAAAGTCTTGTTTTCAACAGTGTCACCTTCAGTAAGGAGGCTCAAAAGGGACATGGAAATAACTAAATGACCATCATTCATTAAAAATAAATGAATATACATTTTACCAAAAGCTGAGCTGTAAATAAATATATTTGTGTTTTTATCCACCTTTTGATTTAATTTATTATTCCACATGTATTTATTTGTTTCCATACTCTTTCACATTTGTCACTTATGGGCCTCCATACATCCTGGACTGTTCAGACCTGGGTTTTGACTCTCAGGCTTCCGGGCCTTGTCATATATCTATGTTTTTATTGATGGTTAATTTTCCCTAAAGAAACTTTGAATAAAACATGAATCAGACATACGGCAGTAAAGGTCGGTTTCTAATTGTGAAGATACAAACACATTATTTATTATTTCTAAAGGAAACTACACATGGTTCTAAATATATTTATTTCATTAACAACACAGCAGAGGTTTACACAGTTAGTTTTTATTTGTCTTCTGAAAACAAAGAGATAAATAAATAAAGAGAATCCATGTTCTTACAAAATGTTTTTAAGTGAGACGTTTGTTCCCTGATAATAACTCAGACGGTTCCCTGTTAAACCTGAAGGACAGACCAGACCGCTGAATTATTGATGAAACAAGATCTCTGATTTCCTCCAAGATCAGTTCAAAACCCTCCTCACTGAGTCTAATGTCTGAGCACAAACCCATCACTTCCTCATTTAAGACAAAGATTTTCCTTTTTAAGCAAAGAAGATTTTAGTGAGAGAGGAGGAAGAGAGAGGGCCAGACGCCCGGGGGTTTCCTCCAGGAGCGCCCACGGTTCACCTCCACCATCAAAACTCCATTTTAAAATCTCTGAGTTTAATGGCAGCCAGCCTCATACATCACTGCTGCCACACAGCCCCCAACAGGAAGTCTGCGATGTCTTTTCAGAGTAAAGGCAGGAGGTATTTTTTAGATCTGACAGGATCTTGTTGTGTGCCGGGTCGTGAAGGTCCAGGTTCAGGGTCAGTCTGTGTCAGAGCTGCAGCAGGAATCAAACCTGTGACCTTCCAGTTTCACTGCTGCGCTAACACAGACATCGTGTTCACGCTGGTGGTTGGTAGAAATCAGTTTTGTCTCTTTGAGGTTGAATTCTGTCTCTTTGAGGTCGTGTTTTGTCTCTTCTGCTCGTGCATTGTCTCTTTTGGTCGTATTCTGTCTCTTTGAGGTCGTGTTTTGTCTCTTTTGGTCATTTGTGGTCGTATTTTGTGTCTTTTGGTCGTATTCTTGGTCGGTTGCGGTTGGCTGTGAAACTTTTGTTTGTGTCATATTCAAGTAAAGTTTCTAAAACTGTCTCCTGTTGTCTCTGAGGTCAAAGCTTGTATCTTTGTGTCATGATGAGACGGGCTGCGCCACGTCTCCATCTGCAGCTCTGAGTCTTTGCATCATGTAGACACACCACAGATTTATTTAGACTTCATCTTCTTCAGCTGATGGTGTTTCCTGTTCGTCTGTCTACAGCAGCTCAGAAACATCAGGAGTCTCCTCAGCCAATGAGAAGAGGAGAATCTTCACAGTCAGGAAGTGTTCAAAACTGCAAAACATTTGAAATGAATCTGTTTGTGAAGCAATGTGTGTTTTAATATTCAATAACCGGTTTTCATTAGATATTAGAATGAATATAATTAAAAGATAAATAAATAAAATCTGTAAAAACATGAAACAAACATCTGACTGTGTCAGTGACATGTATGTGGTCATGACCATATGTCACATTTTTACCCTCTGCAACCCTCCTCCCCCTCCCCCTCCCTACCATATAAGGACAGACCGAATGAACAGATTGTCCATCCCCCCACCCCCCCCTTCCTGATCCTGATCCTCATTCACCTGAAACCAAACACACCTCCCTGCTGCAGAGAGAGAGAGGAGGGGGGAGGGAGGGAACAGGGCGGAGGAGAGGAGAGGAGGGGGAGGGGAGAGGCAGCAGCAGCAGCAGGTAGGGATGGAGGGAGGGGGGATCTGGCGCCTGCGCACTGCCTCTCCATCCCCTCCGCATCGCCCCCCCCTCCTCCCTCCCTCCTCTCTCTTTTTCTGCAGCATCAGTACCACACTCCCTCCCTCCCCCCTCCTTTCGCTCTCTCCCTCCCTCCCCTCTCTCTCTCTCTCTCTCTCTCGGTCGGTTTCCTGCCGGGCTGCTGCTGCTTTGCGCGCTGCGGGGCCACACTGCGACCGCACCGAGGAGGAAGAGGAGGAAGCCGCGGAGCGAAAAGGGGGGCCAGTCTGAGCCAGAGCGGCGGGAAAAAACCATAAAACTCAGAGGAGGAGGGTTTGAACGCGCCGTCACCGCGCGGTTAAAAAACACCAGAGAAGAAGAAGAAGCAGCAGCAGAAGGCGGAGACGCGTCACACCGCGCCGCCGCTCCTCCTCGTCTGTCTCCGCTTTCCAGGAGAACCGAAGAAGAAGAAGAGGAAGAGAAGAACCGAGAGGAGGACGAGCAGAGGGGAATCTTGTTGGGGAATCTCGGAGCGCAAAACGACGAACGACGCGGTGTTGGACCCCCCCCCCTCCCCTCCCGGACCAGGGCCGATTCTCCGTTGTCTAGCAGCCAGCTCGGCGCGGCGAAACCATGAAGGACCGTACGGCGGAACTGCGAAGTGTAAGATGAAATTTTTCTCTTTCCTATCCATCCATGTTCCATCACCACTTCCTCCTCCTCCTCCTCCTCCTCCTCTTCCTCCTCCTGTGGCCGCTGCAGCTTCACGGCCTCGCCGCCTCTGCTCCGCTGCATCCGGATGCGAGCGGTGCGACGCGGTGCGGAGAGGTGCGGGGCGGTAAAAGCTGCTAAAAAAACCTACATATGTGCAGATTTTCGCGCCTCTGCGGAGGAGTTTGTGTCGGCGGGCTGTGCTGCGGCTGCGACTCTTCATGCTGTGAATACAGAGTGAGGAGAGGAGGCTGCAGAGGCAGAAATGGAGGCTTTCTTTTCTCTGACATCTCATTGATTCTCAGTGTGAGTGGATGTTCGGTTTGTGGTGCGGTGCGCACCGGCTGGAGGTCACGTTACACTCTGATTGTCTGTGTGATCACCGGCCTGTGAGCGCGTCTGGCGGCTTTAGACGCAGAGGCCTCTCCGCTCCTGCGGCGCGGCGCGGCGCGGATGTTGGAGACGGTTAAAAAAATCAAAACGCTCCATCCATGCTAATGTGGCCGTGCATGCGTGCCTGGATGACCCGATGGAGGGGGGAGGAGGGGGGGAGGGGGAGAGCTGACTCTGAAAGGAGCCGCGGACCAAAATGCAGTGATTTTTTTTTTTCCCGAGGCCGCATCCTGCAGCCCGCGCGCGCCTCCTCCCTGATGATGGAGAGCCGCGTGAGAGCGGGAGCATCATCAGCCCCGATCAGGCGGAGAGGAGGTGATCGATGCGCGGCAGCACGGATGAAGCGGCAGCGGAGAGATGCGGCGAAATTTGCTGCTTTTTCCGCGTGTTTCCTGCCGCTCCTGTAGCTACGGGTGAAAGTGGAGGGAGGGGGAGAAGGGAGGGGGGAGTGGGGGTGGGGGGGGGGGGCGCATCGTTGCTACAAAAGCCTCACCCATTTTATGAACTGTGGCTTCGCACGGGCTGAGACCAGAGGTTTCACCCGGAGAGAACGTTGTGGGCGCCCGCCGCCGCCTTTCCCGGGAAACAGCTGATGCTGGCGGTTTGGGCGGATTGTGTGGGATCTTGGGGGGAGGGGGGGAGGGAGGGGGGAGGGGGGTCACATCAGTTGCTAAAACTCTGCAGCAGCTCCACGCTCCCCCCGCCGCGCGGGCACCTCCCGGGTTCATCCGGGTTCGCGTCAGGATCTGAAACTATCTATCTATCATCTATCTATCTATCTATCTCTATCTATCTATCAATATATCATCTATCTATCATCTATCTATCTATCTATCAATATATCATCTATCTATCATCTATCTATCTATGTATCTATCTATCTATCTATCAATATATCTGTGTCTATATTTTTGGGGGGCAGGTCAGAACCTGATCAATAAATCAGCAGCATGTGTGTGTGTGTGTGTGTGTGTGTGTGTGTGTGTGTGTGTGTGTGTGTGTGACAGCCTCAGTTTACCGCACTGCTGTCCATCCATCCCTCTGTCCTCATCCATCACTTCTTCACCTCCCTCCTTCATCCATCCATTAACAATCCTCCATCTTCACTCCATTCCTGGTTGTAGCTTCCCTCCCTCTTCTCTTCCTCTTCTCATCATCCTTCGACCATCTTTTCATTTCATCAATATTTCCATCCCTCCATCTTCTTTATCTTCTCTATCTGTTGTTTCACTTTTATTTTCTCTTCTTCCATCCGTCTTTTCCTCACCCTCTCTCCCTTCATCATCCACTATTCCACCTTCCTCTCCCTCCTTCCTTTCATCCATCCCTCCATCTTCTTCCTTCCTTTCATTTCTTCATCCATGAAAATGAAACTTTAAAGTTGAAGTTAGTCAGCTGATGGAGGCGAACAGCTGATTCTTCAGTCGCTGCCTTTAAACTACAGAAGAAGAAGATCCAGTCAAAGCTCAGACAATGAAGATGATCAATGACATCATTGATCCTGAGCGATCGATGCTTTAACTCCGTCACATACACTCAGACAGATCAGTCCAATGGTCCCCAACACAGGGGGCGGGGCCTCCACGGGGCCACCAGGTAAATCTGAGGGGTCGTCACATGATCACTGATCTGGAGTCAGTTTTCAAATTAAAATAGATGTTCAAATTAAATCAGGAGACTCTACGACCGAGGTCAAAGGTCACCGAGGTCGCCTCCTAAATAGATCCAGATGGGTTGTATTTTATAAACTCGCCGTGTTTTTAAATGAGCGGCTGTTTCCCTCCGAGAGGAGAGGGACATATCAATAATCAATAATCAATAGATACAAGAAGCTTCAACTTCTTCTTTCATCCTTCCATCACTTTAATATTTTCCCTCTTCCATCATCCTGTCATCCCTCCCTCCTCCCTGCTTCCCTGTTCTCTCCATCTCTCTTCCTGACCTCTTTTCACCCTGCATCACTCCATCCTCTCATTTATCCATCCCTTCTTCTCCTCCCTCCATTCCCTCTTCTCCTCCCTCCATCCCCTCTTCTCCTCCCTCTTCTCCTCCCTCCATCCCCTCTTCTCCTCCCTCCTTCTTCTCCTCCCTCCATCCCCTCTTCTCCTCCCTCCTTCTTCTCCTCCCTCCATCCCTTCTTCTCCTCCCTCCATCCCTTCTCCTCCCTCCATCCCTTCTTCTCCTCCCTCCATCCCCTCTTCTACTCCCTCCCNGCCATCCCTTCTCCTCCCTCCATCCCTTCTTCTCCTCCCTCATCCCTTCTTCTCCTCCCTCCTTCTTCTCCTCCCTCATCCCCTCTTCTCCTCCCTCATCCCTTCTTCTCCTCCCTCCATCCCTTCTTCTCCTCCCTCCATCCCCTCTTCTCCTCCCTCCTTCTTCTCCTCCCTCCATCCCTTCTTCTCCTCCCTCCATTCCCTCTTCTCCTCCCTCCATCCCCTCTTCTCCTCCCTCCATCCCCTCTTCTCCTCCCGCCATCCCTTCTCCTCCCTCCATCTCTTCTTCTCCTCCCTCCATCCCCTCTTCTCCTCCCGCCATCCCTTCTCCTCCCTCCATCCCTTCTTCTCCTCCCTCCATC